TCCAGTCTTTTTATTATGTATGTGATGTTTAATTCATTTTGGATTAACTTAAAATAATTAATATCCAGTCTTTTTATTATATATGTGATGTTGAAGTAGATGTTTAATTCATTTCGGATTAACTTAAAATAATTAATATCCAGTCTTTTTATTATGTATGTGATGTTTAATTCATTTCGGATTACTTAAAATAATTAATATCCAGTCTTTTTATTATGTATGTGATGTTTAATTCATTTTGGATTAACTTAAAATAATTAATATCCAGTCTTTTTATTATATTATAATTGTGAAGTAGTAATCTACAAATGTTGTATTACATTATGTTAAATATATATATTTACAAAATTAAGTATTTGGTAGCTTCATCCTCTTACAAATACCTAATAATTATTAAATTACTGAAAAAAGAACTGCTGTTAATCCAGGAAAAGTATGTTTCAAACTTCAAAAGTCTTCAATTTTCTATTGAAAAAGCTAATAAACATGCAGTAAAAAAAGCTTCGTCTAATGGTATTAATATAATCTGTACTGTTTACCATACATGGATTACAGTGCAGTTTTAATTTGATGAATTAAATATGTTCTCCTTCAAAAAAAAATATTTTTTTAATACCCATTAGAAGAAGGGTCAAATTTTATTAATTTAAGTTTGATTCAAGTAAATTTTAATGAGTAATTGAAACTTCAAACTTTTTTTGGATTAATTTGTAATTACTTTCATGTTGTATTAATTAGAAAGTTAATTTTTATTATGGAGAGATAGATATAAGAGATAAGCCTTAGAAATATACTAATATGCCATTAATTTTTCATGTTTGTTCGTTTTTGTTTGTTTTTAATTATGCACAAAGCTACACAAGGGCTATCTGTGCTCTGCCCACCACGGGTATCGAAACCCGGTTTCTAGCGTTGTAAGTCCACAGACATACCGCTGTGCCACTGGGGGGCATTTTTCATGTTATTTCCACTTTTCAACATTGAAAGAAGTAGCAAAATTAATTTCATAGTTAAAATATAGTGCAGCTGTATTGGATGATTAGCTCATAAGTTACATCCACCTAAGCCTGGCTACATACTGATTTTCAGTTTTTATAAAGTTTAGGCATTTAACACATAATATCAAACCAATAACAGATATATCTAGAAAACACCGTATATTCTTCCACAAACTTATTTAAAAATTATAAAGACGGTTTATAAAAGAAAGTTGAATTAACTGAGAAGCTGGAATTGAGTAAGTACTGTTATTGTTAAGAAAACGGGTGTTCTGAACAGTGTACAGAGAATTCAGTGAAAAAACACTACCACCAGAGCATTAACAATTTAACACAGCAGCATAAACTAAACAATAACACCTCTATACAGTTAACAGTTTACTTAACAATAAAAAACCTAAACAATAACACCTCTGTACAATTAACAGTTTACTTAACAATAAAAAACCTAAACAATAACACCTCTATACAATTAACAGTTTACTTAACAATAAAAACCTAAACAATAACACCTCTATACAGTTAACAGTTTACTTAACAAAAAAAACCTAAACAATAACACCTCTGTACAATTAACAGTTTACTTAACAATAAAAAACCTAAACAATAACACCTCTATACAGTTAACAGTTTACTTAACAATAAAAAACCTAAACAATAACACCTCTATACAATTAACAGTTTACTTAACAATAAAATAGAAATTTAAAAAGCTTATCACATAGTTATTGTTTTTAATTAATTGATAAACATCAAAAGAACATAAAACACATTTCTAATGAAAATATGTGTTGTATAAATCCTTTATGTCTACGACAGACCATATAGGAATTTAGTTTTCCTTTACCGTTATGACACATGTTGTTTCCCATTTCTAAACTCTTAAAAACTGTAATTTATGTATTACACTCATTGTTTCTCATTCTTAAACTCTATAAGAAATACATAATTTTTAGATAATAATCATTGTGTTTCACATCTTTAAACTTTAAAAATATCATTTATTTTTATACATTATTCAAAATTAAAAGATAAATAAAGGTTTCACAAACACTCATCTTAGTTGTACACTTATTTCGTTTATGAAGTTGGGTGTTAACAAATTTCTTTCTTTCTTTTTTTTTCCTAATACAGAAGAAAAAATTTTGGGAGAAAGGTTTATTTAATTTATAAACAAACAAATTTTAACCTGAAAAAAATCCGTCGTTAACTCGCATAATTAAACCATTATGAGTTAATTATCCGAACATTTTGCTATTTAGAATCTAATGAAAATTAATCATAATTTATAAAGTTACTAAGGTTCTGATGAATAGCATGATCTTGTATGAAAATAAACATTTGATATTACAGGAGCATTTAGAGTTGAAATGTGGAGAGAGAGCCAGAAAGACAGGACAATTCATTGTAATTACAACCCCACTGAACCAGGTTTTTATCAGCTGGAAGTGAAGTGGTCAGGAGAGCATGTCCCGGGGTCTCCTTTCACAGTGATGATTTTTGACACTCAAGAAGAAGTGATTCAATATCTACAAGGCCATCATATAATTGACTCTCTATTGTCAGCAGACTATTTTGGTGGAAGCATGATTTCCAGTACAGGGTTTGGACAGATGTCGTGGCATGGATCCGTAACCGAGCTGTGAACTGATCATGTAGTTGACCAGTTGTTATGTAACTTTCACCAGTAGCTCCAAAGGTGAATAAATAACATAAGTGTATTAATAAATAGTGATGAAATCTAAATATAAATTAGGGACTTTGTATAGAAAAAGGTTAAGAATTTTATCAAAGTTTGTAATATTCATCAAAGTGCTTATATTGCAATCTTAAATCCATCTGGGAGTAAAATCAATTTGTCTTACATGTTACTAAGTTGGTAAACTACTAAATATTGCTGTATTCATGAAACTCCAAAGAGTAGTATGTACTTGTTTCCTTATAGTTAGTTTGTTTTAATACAATGATGCCATTTTTGTTATTGTTGTCATTATTGTTGATATTGTCATAATTAGCAACAATAATGAATTGAGTACAGCACATGTTGAGAAGGATGCTAATGCGCTGGACTCAAGAGTTAAGATTTTTCTTTGTTCCCATAATTATATTTGTGTATTATTTGTTATTGTTATATTTGTGTATTATTCGTTATTTTTCATAAACTCCATGCCACCTTTTTTATACTTCTTCAATATATGGACTATGTGTTAATTACAGATACACAATTAACTGTCAGTTCTGTCTATTCTTTAATGCGTGTTTTAAAGCTCAGAGACAGTTAACCTTTTATCATCATATATTTTCCGTGCAATACGTGATGGGAAAAAAAACCTTCCATGGATGATAAAGGATTAATAGGAGTTTGAAGGATTTTTATATATTGATTTTTTTTTATGTGAATTTTTTTATCACTCTTTTAAAACCTACAATGAATATCAGAACTTTTTTTCCAAGGCTTCCGATATCTCTACGGGATACGTGAGAATTGTTTGTATATTTTCTTTGCTAAACCTTAAAAAATTGCTTTTCTTTTTCAACAAAAGTGAATAAAAACTTCTAAGCATATTTCCATTACCATCCATAATTTTGTGCAATAAACGACAAAATTATGTTTTTTTTATTTCATATCCACATATCCCTGTTGTATTTTTCAATGTGTTTTCTTTATTGTTGAAAAGAAATGATTAACAGCTTTAAATACATCATTCAACAAGAACAAACTATAACATTTTATATTGCAACTACTTTGTATTTTTAAGAACTTCGATTTTTTACACTATAAACAAGATCTTGTATTCTTTGGTTGGTATATATAGACCCTAGCTGTCTTAAAGATTTCCTGTACAACAACTTAACTTTAACCAGCCATTGTACTTATAAATATTTTAGGACTAATATAAATTACTGGTCTGAATTCCATTAATACTACAAAAAAAAACTAATCCGTAGAAAAATTTCCACCTCGTGTAACACATCACTCTAAGACGTGTAAGACGGTCCCTTGCAAGTTTTATATCTAATAACGTGTAGGAATGTAACCTCTTTTTAATAAAGCTAACGTACATTAAAAACGATCCACAAAAGCAAACGGATGTTGCAAGTGACCCATAAATGTTATCGGATATTATAAATGACCCATAAAACTGGTAAATGTTGTAAATTGTGCACAAAACTAGTGAATTTCATGTACCAATCACAAAGTCAGATTCATACAACTTGCACTACTATAACGATAGAAAAAGCCGCTCACGAAGGTTATCCTGAATTCCTGGAATGCTCATACATACCAATATTTACACACAAATTTATAAGATATTTTTGTTGCAAAGTCTTCCTAATTCCATATATCAACAAAACCGTGTTAATCAATATTTGGCGAATTCTTTAAGAGTGGTTCATTTTCAATACATGCGAAGTTCACCAATTTTCAGTACACTTCGTTTCCCAGTTTTCACAGGAATTGAAATTGTAAAAAAGTCTGACCAATGAGCACTAAATGAGAAGATGCGACTTCAAAAAGATGTACCTTGATAATATCCTCTTAACATGCAGAAGTAGAACGTGTAACAAAAGTTTACTACGTGACAAACCGGCAATCTTTTTAGTAAGACGTATGGAAAAACGTGAATCTCACAATGGATTTCAAGTGGCATATCCGAATTAGACACATTATTCTATTATATTCACTACGGAAACAACCACCGTTATTACGTTTTTCGAAGTTAAGAAAGAAAAACAACTAAAAACTCGGCTCAATTACAAAAATCGCAATATTCGCCACACTGACAAAAAAATTAGGTCAATGAAGTAATCTTAAATACTGTAAAAACCAAAACAAAAAATAACCAATATGCATAACCGCTGGGCTATCCTAATAAAACGTTTTGTTATGCCGGATTGTGGATCCGTGGTTCGCTCCCCGTTACCGCCGAAAAGCCGCGCTACACACATTCGAGTCATGAATACGTTATAACAGTAACGGTCAAATCTCACTATTCGATTCGAATAGCCCACGAGCTGGTGATGGGCGAAGCCGACTAGCTGCTTTCCCTGTAGTCGCAGATAATACTTGAGCCCGGTTAAAACGTTCTACAGCTTATATTGATCAAAACTTTTCTGTCGATTCAAATATTTGACTCGGTAAAAAAACTCATCAGGAAACACAATTCGGCTAACACGCGTGTTATGGAAGACGTATACGTTTCTAAAGAAGTTACAATTCAATAAACCCAGCTCACAGGAACCCACTGACTTGTTTCGTTTATGTGCTCTATCTGTTGCTCCAGGGTCTCGATTGTCTCGTCGATGTTACTATTCACAATGATCAAGTCGAACAAATGACCGTAGGCTTGTTGTAGAAGTTCACTCTCCTTTACAAGACGTTCCAGACTTCCGTCAGTCTGGTAAAAAAAAAAATCATGTTAATCTAAAACTGACAAAAAACTTCACATTTGAGCTGACTGGAAATCTTTCGTTAGCGCAAAGCATTTTATACGAGTTAGTTTGACGTTACTCCACACGTTAATACATAGATATCTCACCACTAATTTCAAATACATGTTAAACTTGTACGTTTACGTGGTCATTTCATTGAATTGGTACAACTTTACTGCCAACAATAAAACGAAATACATTTTAAAGAAACTTGCTGATGGTAGTTGATGAAATATGGATTTTTAAAAAGGTTGTAGTGGTGACAATAACTACTTCAAATGTAGGAAGAAAAAAAAAAGATAATATGTATGTTTGTATAGACACACACAAACAGATTATTTTGTCGTTTTTACAAACTTTTTTTCTCTTTAAAATCGTGTAATTTATTCAGTTGTGCAAGGTTTATCTACATTAGAAATATAATTACTGAATTGAACGATAGTTTGTTGTTAAACACAAAGCTGCACAGCGTACTGTCTTGTGATTTTCTCAATACAGGAATCGTACCCCCGAATTCTAGAGTTATAAGCTGCAAAACTTACTTCTGAGCTACTAGAAGACCTGAATATTAAGTTTACGAGCTACTAGAAGACCTGAATGTTAAGAACTGAATTATAACTGGGAAGGGTATCGCAATGGATTCAGTGATATACGCATCCACATTTAGAAGAAGATGGATCAAACTGTGTTTTATAATGCACATTCAGTCAGTCGGAATAACTCTAAATTCTACAGCGTGTGCTACCCAAATGCAATGAAAATTCAAATCCACATACCTGTGGCGTACGAAGAATTCTATTCCTCATAAACATGCAAGTTATTTCTCAAGAACGGCAAAAATATATATTTTAAATTGTGATTGTTGAGTTCATTGAGAAAATATACGAGATATTTTACGCGTAACAAAGTAAACTTTACTTAACATTCAGGTCTTCTAGTAGCTCGTAAACTTTACTTAACATTCAGGTCTTCTAGTAGCTCGTAAACTTTACTTAACATTCAGGTCTTCTAGTAGCTCGTAAACTTTACTTACTAAAAATTGCTCTGGTAGTTAGGGCGCTCGACTCGTAATCCGCGAGTTACGGGTTCGAATCCCCGTTACCGAACATGCGCACTCTTTCAGTCATAGGATCGTTATAACGTGATGGTCAATCCAACTACTCCTTGTTAAAAAGATTAGCTCAATAGTTGGCGATGAGTGGTGTTGACTAGTTTTCTTCCCAATAATTTATTACTGCTAAATTACAGACGACTAGCGCAGATAGCCCATGAGTAGCTTCGCGCGAAATTCAAACCAAGCTTGTTAGAATCTTGAATCATTTAATTCTCTAATTATAACTGTAATTCTTGTTTCGATGTTAATGCTTCTTGAAAAACAGGTTTTTGTTTTGTTTCAAGTTGAGAACTGGGTAAGAGACACGCTTTTGTTTTTATTTATTATATAAATCATACGATGACCACCTTCGACTTGCGGGGGGTGCTCTTCGCTTAAAGACTGTAAAGTTCATTGATACAAAAATATTTGAATGAAACCCACGTTTCCTTTTCTGGGATGTACGTTAAAGATTTACAAAGTCAAATTTGTAGAGACAAATATTATATTACATATATGAGCTCGTATGTAGCATATACATAATTAACATAGTTCATAAATGTTCTACTCTCGGCCAGTATTAGACAAACTAATTGTTGACTACGATTTAATTTGTTTGTGTATCCTAAAAATATGATGTAGATGTATGTCTCCTTAGTTATCTGGACTCTTGTACAATTAGGACTGTAGGTGTGACAGTTTCTTTACTTTACGTGACAGCTACTTCATTTACATTACGTGATAGTTACTTTCTTTATTTTACGTGATAGTTACTATCTTTACTTTACGTGACACCTACTTTCTTTGCTTAACGTGTCATATACTTTCTTTACTTTACGTGACACCCACTTTCTATTTTTTACGTGACATCTACTTTCTATTTTTTACGAGACACCTACTTTCTATTTTTTACGTGACACCTACTTTCTTTGCTTAACGTGTCATATAATTTCTTTACTTTACGTGACATTTGCTCTCTTCTCGATTGCGATAACAAAACCATGATCAAATATGGCGTAAACTATAAAACTTTCTTTCAATACGATTAAATTAAAATTATCTCTTAACTTTATTAACCAATAATGTATGTTAATTTAAGACATACCTTTTCGTTATTAAAATGTTGTAATGGGATATCCAGTTTCATAAAACAGTGAATTAGTTTCTTCTACTGTAAGCTTTAGAAAGTTATGTCTCAAAGTGTACAAAAAAACGTCGAGAAGGAAGATCAAGATCTGTAATTCTTTACATTGCATCTTGGCCAATATTATTACAGTATAGATCGATGTATTTGATACACAGCTGTTGGATGACGACTTTCATTACCACTGACGTTTCAAAACTGTGTGTCTATACATCTACAACTTATCAGAGTTACACCTGATGTTACATTCTGCACATAATTTCACTCGATTCTTGTTTTTTTTTCCGCCAAATTATTTCTGTTATTTTGCCATATTATATATTAACGCCTTCTGGTATTCTTCATTAAATATCTTAACACATTGAAACTTTTTTGGTTCACGTAATTACTATGAATTACAACTTATCAGAGTTACAACTTACACCTGCAACATTCTGTTTTTCTAGCGTAATGATTTACTGTCATAAAGAAAGTTGCTTACATTCGGCTTCTCTGTCCAATGTGGGCCTAAAAACGTGTGCCTTTCTAATGTGATTACTTCCAATTTAACGTACCCGTGATCGAACCCGTATTGTTTGTTTTTGTGAGGATTCTGATTCATTCTGTAATAAAAGCTACCCCTTATCTAAGATGGAATTAGCATATTAATAACTAGCTGGAGTATCCGTCCCCTGGATGGAAGTTATGTAAATTAATGAGTAATGAAAGGTTATCTTAGGACATAAAAAGTTGCTTCCCTTATATGTAATTGTAAATAACGCAAAAACGCTCATAAAAACTGCAAAACACAAACTGTGAAACCGCAAATTTGCATGCATCTCCGCATGGACTCAACAAACTTTCATGCCAAATTTGAAGATCTATCAACAGGGGGCGAAGTAGTTGTAAAAAACGCCCATAAAATCCATAAAACGAAAAATGCAAAAGTGAAAATTTGTATGTATCTCCTCATGGCCCCAATGAACATTCATACCAAAGGAGGTGAGGTAATGGTGCAAAAGGCAAAACTGAAAATTTGAATGTAACCCCGCATGGACCAAATGAACCTCCATTTTGGTGAAGATCCATCCACACACTGCGAAGTAGTTATACGGATATACAACAGACAGTACTGTTATATTTATATATATTACAGTAGGAGAAGGTTAAATAATTACATTTAACCTAAACAAGAGTAACTATGGCTGATTAAATTTGCAGTTGCCCTACTGACACATCACTAACAGTGGTATCAATCCATTTGAAACATAGGAGAAGACAGAGAATAGCGTCGATTTGATAGAAATATATCAAATATGAGCGCCAACTTACAGTATATATATATATATATATATATCAGGAAAGAACGTCGAGTTACTACAAATCTTACCAGGAAAGATCAACTTAATATATATTTTATCAGGGAAAAAAGTCGACTTAATATATATTTTACCAGGAAAGATCAACTTAATTCATATTTTATCAGGAAAAAAAGTCGACTTAATATATATTTTACCAGGAAAGATCAACTTAATACATATTTTATCAGGAAAAAAGTCGACTTAATATATATTTTACCAGGAAAGATCAACTTGATACATATTTTATCAGGAAAAAAGTCTTCATAATATAAAAACATATATTAAGTCGACGTTCTTCTCTGATAAAACATCTAGTAAGTCGACGTTCTTCTCTGATAAAACATATATTAAGTCGACGTTCTTCTCTGATAAAATGTATAGTGCGAATTTGTAATTACATATTCCTAGACAAACATCATGCATTTCAGTGTCTAAGTAATAAAGCTGGAAGAATGATTAAATTAATCAAGTTTTTATTAAAATTCGACTTACTGGAACATCTTTTATCGCAGACATAGATGGCGCTGCGATGAAAACTACATATGGAGTGTATTCCGCCGTTCTGAGGATTTTCAAAGCCTAAGAATTAACACACACAAAAAAAAGAAATCGCAATTCAAGTAGTTTCCTTTCGTATTATAACTCAGTCTAGCAATTACATAAAAATATAAGATAATATTCAAAGTTTTTAATTCATACACTTTATCCAATGTACGAGTGTTCCCAAATAAGTACTACTAGTATTTGCATATTAAACGCCAATATGGTTCATGTTCAGGAGTTTATGGTCACATTTTGAGATAGACAAATGTTTCCATACCTGGGGTTCAACATCCAAGATGGCCACCTTCCCCTCTGCGTGTATCCCCCTGATGGTTTCCAATTTGGTTCCGTACATAGCATCACCATACGTTCCGTACTCTAAATATTCGTTTGCGGCGATGTCCGCCATCATTTCGTCATGGGAAACAAAGTAATACGTTTTACCATTCTCGTCCGATTTTCTAGGAGGCCTCGTCGTATCTTTTTGTTTTGAGACATTGAGTAAACAATAAAGGCATATACAATGTAAGACATAGTTACACTTACCTTCAAAAGTAAGAATCTGATTTAATCAGTTTAGATATGTAAGCCTTTTAAAAATTGTTAACTTACCGTATAACGACACTATGTATATGTATATATATATGACTCGCTTATAAGAGATTTAGGCTAGTAAATGCCGTGCTTATCAAGGAAAGCATGTAATAAAAATATTATTAATATTCATTAATGTATTGGAATGGGAGCAAGTTACGAGACAACCGTCTTGCGAAAAACTTGGCGGTCAACAATTTTTAAACTGTAGCCTGTCAGTCTTATTCCAAGATGTGAAATAAAAGATTAAAAATTAGCCTACTTGAAGTAGAAACTTACGAGGGATGGGGTAGGCATATTTCTGAGGATGATTTCCTATGAGAGTGTTTTTAATGTGTCTTCTCCCAACTCCGTGTGCGCCTGCGTAGTAAATAAAAAACAACAGTGAAATAAACTATATTTTACAGATGCCTGTCTTCTCTATTAGATCACACGTACCTAAAACAAATACCATTTCTACAAAGAAACTGCGCATGTGTGACTTCTCGTTATACTCTTATAATCTGCCATTATTTTAACTTGGCATTATTAATGCAAAATGTGTAATAAATACAAGATTTTGGGAAGGACACTATTACTTCAACTACTGTTTTGTAATGACATCATTACTCCATCTGCTGTGTTGTAATTACACCATTACTCCACCTACTGTGTTATAATGACATTATTACTCCATTTACTCTGTTGTAATGACATTATTACTCCATCTACTGTGTTGTAATGACATTATTACTCCATCTACTGTGTTGTAGTGACATTAGTATTCCAGCTACTGTGTTGTGATGAGCTGCTCACCAGTGGCTCAGCGGCAAGCCCGCAGGCTGACGACGGGTATTGCACGGTATTACGTGTAAGGGCTATTAAATGGCACAGTTTGTAAGAACTAACTTTTATGACTATTATATTTTCCTTACTCATTTTCACGCACGGCATATAAGCTATGCTTTCTGGTTTATTTGAAAAACATGTATGCGGTTAGACAAGCAAACTCACGTAGACGGAACTTTATTTAATAAAACTACATGTATTGTAAACAATACAGTATAGTAATGGTATTTATAATAGAGAACAGAGTTTGAAACAGTTCTGATCGTTCAGTATATGACAAGGTTTCGTTTTACGAGTTAAAACAGAGAGAAACTAAAAAAAACGAAGAATAGAACTCGTACTAAAAAAAAAGTATTTAAAAGGTATTTATAGCAGTCTATGAAACGAACCGAAGCTAAATTATTGCAAAGTAAAGTAAATGTAAAGTTGTAACAAAGGCAAACTTAGCTGAATATGCAGGAACGTGCGTGTTCACAAAGTGATAAGTATATGGTTTTGAACGAACAGTGCATGCGTAATTTAGACCTAAATAAGTCAAGAAAGCCCATAGAAATTGTATTTAATGTAATGTTAATTTTTTATAACAAATTACATGTGGATTGCGAGTTGTTTGTGTGAAATACTTTGCAAATATAAAACTAACGTTGTAATCGAAACCAGTCCTCATGTGATGACAACGACATTGTGCCACGTGTATATACTCGATGTATTAAAAAGTTTGACTAAGCAAAAAACATGGAAGGTAAATCTGAATTGAAAAGCCAATATGCAATCCGGACTCCTCGGACAAAGGCCTTTCTTTAACGATATGAGATCTGTAGCGTTTGATTGAGAAATTTGCGAGAAAAGTTCCGGGCAGAAAAACGCAAGCATATTATTTATATAGATTATTAGCAAGACTGGGCCTGGAATGGCCTGGTTTTTAAGGCGCTCGACTCGTAATCTGAGGGTCGCAAGTTCGAATCCCTGCCACCAAATAAACTCTTCCTCAGATATCCCCCAGGTGTAAAACGCTCTTATCTTACAACAATTACCGACTGACCTCTAATTCACTATGACTAAGGTCGAGATGAAGAAAAAATAATATTGTAGGACTAACTTTTAAGGCTATTATGTAATACAGTTTGTTAGGACTAACATTTTACGTTTTCTATAAGGTATTGTTTGTATGATGTGACTAATTTATTATTATATATTTATTTTAATATCAACGTTTGTTTAGATTAAGTTTATATTTTAAAACATGCGTAGCTTATAGTGTTAAATATGTATTGCGAAACTCCCGCCTATTCTCCAAAGTTGTAGAAAATTCTCGAGAGTAAGAATCAACAATATATGTGTGTACTTAAACGCTTGTGTTAGCGTCAGTATTGTTACGTACAACTGAAATTTCGAGAAAGGCTCCACACGCCTATAAGTATAACAAAGGCGACGCGGCAAAAAAAGTAGTATCTATTATTAGTTTGCTATAGTCAGTGTGCTATAAACTTCGAAAGCTATAGCTGTGATTGTTATAATGCTTACCAATCGGAAAACTTCAGTTATTTGACCAGGAATATTTACAAAGTTCAAACATTACAAATCATTCAACTTCAGTGGATTCTCATCGGACACTAGTATTTTTACGAAAACATTACATAACGTCACGGTGGAAAACCCGGTGTGTGTGGCTGGTAAATAATGAGGGACAAAGCTAGCTAGCTTTCCGTTAAGCGAACTGTGCCTACGTCAACTCGAAATTAACTCGCTCATCGTGAACCCTCGATAAGATATTGAAGAAGTTCCAGACTAGAAAGAAGACTTTATACTGCTTGTATGTTTGTGAAACTTGTGTTTCTAAATCATTGTTTGTAATAACTGTTATTGTAAATTGTACTGTTGTGTGTATATAAAAACGTATTTGTGTTTAAAAAAACAACAACTGTGTGTATCAATCTTGTTGGCAAATATCATAAACTGGCTATATATCGGCTTTTACTTAACTACTAAACCCAAAGTACAATTTAACTAATAAATTTAAAATGTCATTTAGCTCGGTTTCAGACCATTTGAAATTCTAATAGGTAACAATGAATAACTTTTTACGGCTACTATATAGTACAGTTTGTTAGGACTAACTTTTATTACGGTTATTATATGGTACTGGTTGTTAGGACTAACTTTTTTACGGCTACTATATAGTACAGTTTGTTAGGACTAACTTTTGTTACGGTTATTATATGGTACTGGTTGCTAGGACTAACTTTTTTACGGTTATTATGTGGTACTGGTTGTTAGGACTAACATTTTTACGGTTATTATGTGGTACTGGTTGTTAGGACTAACTTTTTTTACGGTTATTATGTGGTACTGTTTACGGTTATTAAATGGTCTTGCTTATAAAGCTAACCTTTGAGGCTGCTACATAATGGGTTGACCTGTGGTTTATATCTGTGAAATAACTGTCATTGTTTAATTATCAATCTTTACATGTTAATGAATAAATAAAATAGCATACCTCTAGCATTCGGCTCGATGTGTTTTTTCTTAGATTATTGTCGTCCTGCTTCACGTTATAACCCTAACTAAAATGAAGCTTCGCAGTGTTGTAGGATATTCAGTTTATTTATTATATTCGTTAAGTGTATTGGTATTTTCAACTTAATACGATTTTGATACATTCAATAGGACAAAAATCTTCCCGATATCGTCTACGTATACATCTTCCCATCATCATCATGATTTTTGGTATTATGTATTAAGTTTATTATTTTATTTAATCTGCTATTGTGTATTTATAGCTTTGCGCTTTTCGTGACGTTTAATAAGATGTAATAAATCTTTTACTGGTCATTACTAATTTTAATATTTTTTTCCACATTTGTTTTTATTTGCCAAAAATTTAACCATTCAAGGAAAGTTTCCAACTTTTTTGTCAAATTTCTGAATATTTAAATGCTTGTTTTTAGCACGAAGTTACAGAATTAATTATCTGCGCTCTGTCCACTGCTGACCCACTGATGGACTGAACACATAAAATAACTTAAATTTATCTCCAAATTTTAATTCTCCTATTTTGATCTATATCGATTTATCAAGTTGAAATATAATATAATTGCAATATCTAAGAAACATTTTCATCAACACAGAATGGTTCTGACAAAGACTAAATCAAAGCAAATATATAAGTCACATCTATATAAATCTGGCTCCTGAAATGTCCCTTGAATAATAGAAAAGAACATTGAAAATAATATGGCATTCCGATCAAATAATTAAACTAGAACAAGTGATCTATTTGATGACACAACTGACTGGAATGTTGTTTTTGCTGTAAACAAATTAGAACAAAAATATATCAACTAACACCACAGAAAAATAAGCAAACATTTTGTTTGCTGGTTAAAACTATGCATGATAATAGAAGATAACAAAAAATGTTCACCTTGTATAAACTAACTAATTAATTCCTTTTGTATGCCCTCCAGTGGCACAGCGGCATGTCTGCGGACTTACAACTCTAGAAACCGGGTTTCGATACCCGTGGTGGACAGAGCACAGATAGCCCTTTGTGCAGCTTTGTGCTTAACTACAAACAAATAACCTATGGTTAAAACTGTGATTAATAATGGTAGACAAAAAAATTAACCATATGTAAAAGAACTACCGTATTTTTAAATAAAAACAAGAGGGAATATCTAAAGCCGCGCCACTTGAAATTCGTTTAAGTAGGATTAAAGTAAATTAATCTATGAGACCCTTTTTATTAGCTATATTTCTGTGCGCCACTAATACCAAACGTGGGATGCGCGTGTCCTTGATTCAATTTTATTACTCATCAGGATCTCTATCAGCCTAACCCCAAATTGAAATTATTTTAAGCAGGATTAGAGTAAATTAATCTGCGAAACCTTGGGCGTGGTAAATACATCAATCGAAAGGGTTTGACCTCCTGAGTCCAAAACTGCAATTAGATCTCGAATTAGTTAAGAGATATTTGTTTGAATTTCGCGCAAAGCTACACGAGGGCTATCTGCGCTAGCCGTCCCTAATTTAGCAGTATAAGACTAGAGGAAAGGCAGCTAGTCATCACCACCCACCGCCAACTCTTGGGCTACTCTTTTACCAACGAATAGTGGGATTGACCGTCACATTATAACGCCCCCACGGCTGAAAGGGCGAGCATGTTTGGTGGGATGGGGATGCGAACCCGCAGATTGCGAATCGAGCGTCTTAACCACCTGGCCATGCCGGGCCAGTTAAGAGATGACGGAGGTATGGGCTAAAAGTTTGTACTTGAAAAAAAAAAAAAAATGAGCCATTCAGCCGCGGCTAAAAACAGATATTGGTCTAAATCTTACCAATTATGTATAGTAATAGTATGTTAAAAATTAGCCTTTCCTAAAAGAACTAACTGACGTTTTTTTTTGTTGTCTTTTTTTGAAAAAAAGAATATTGGTCTAAATGTACTGTGTTTAAAAATTATGCATATTAATAATAGGTAAAAAAAAAACTTACCTAAAAGAACCAACGTTTTTCTTTTGAAAGATGGCAGGAGGACAACTTCTTCGTAAGTAGCTATGTCCAGTTGATCAAAGATGGCGCTGTGCTTAGCTAAATACTTGTCACGAAAATGTTTTTTCTTTCTGCTAAATATTGAACAACTGACTGGAAGATTAAAAAAATATAAAAAGGTATATGAAATGATTCGGCAACGTACCAGTCTTATATTTAATAGACATATTAGGTATTCAATTAATGGAAGATTATTATAAGAACTTTAGATTGAAAGCAAGGAAGAATGTGTACTAATATGTTAACCATAATATATCAGCAATATCCAGTGCCGACGAGGCCTCTCGCTCAATACCAGAGCTCGTCAGGCCACCTAGGATACAACAGACATGATAATGATCTAGGACTATTTATGTAATCAGTTTCATGCACAACAATTGTCATGGTGTAAACTATAATAAGTGTAAATGAATTATTTATTACGAATAAAATATTCAATAGATATTCACATCATAGTTTAAGTTGCACAATTTTACATAAGTAGTAAAATAGAAAAAGAAAACAAATAAATTATATCATTTTAAGGGGTGGTTTGGCGAAATATGGAATGTACTATCTGTCTGTCTATCCTGTAAGTAAATCTCTAAGAGAATGTCTACAAGAAAGGTTTCCAACTCTTGAATATGTATATAAATGTATCCACACGAAGACAAAAAAATAACAGAGAAATTAACTTTTAAATATCGCATATATATATAGTATGAGAAATACTTAAATTCCCTGACTTCAAACCACCTTTTAGTGACTCATAAAATGAAGTCTCACCTTTTACTAAGTAATTCATCAATGTTCTTCTCCTGTATTTTGTTTGCAAGTCTAAAGATCATGTTCCTAATAGCACTGTTAAAGGCAAGAGAAGAATGAAAACGGTTCGACAGTATAATGTATTTTACTTCTCTCTTGCATGACTGAAACATTAGTAACATTTTCATTTCCCTGGTGGTAAAAAAGAACAACAAGAATTCTTAAACCTATTCAAATGATGTAGAAACTTCCCGCACATGTTTCAGCTTTTACAGATAAAAATAATTACAACGTTTTAAATCAAACTTACCTTTATCGCTATTTGTTTTTTCCATGGCAAGCGAGGCCATTCTCCACTCTTGAAGTTCAGGTGAAGGAATGAGTCCTGCTGTGCCATTGGTGCCCTCTTTTTTCGCTTGCCACCAATTGTGATCATCCTTACTTATCACTTGTAGGATATCGCCTGTTTGAAACGACACTCCAGCTTGAGGACAGGGGATCAACTCGTCGTCATATGGATTGTAAGAAAACTGAGCACGTACGTAGATCTGAAATGTGATTGGAAGGTACAGTTGTGTCTGCATGTGATTGGAAGATTCAGTTGTGTCTGCATGTGATTGGAAGATTCAGTTGTGTCTGCATGTGACTGGAAGATTCAGTTGTGTCTACATGTGATTGGAAGATTCAGTTGTATACACACGTGACTGGAGGATTCAGTTGTGTCTACATGTGATTGAAAGATTCAGTTGTGTCTACATGTGATTGGAAGATTCAGTTGTGTCTGCATGTGATTGGAAGATTCAGTTGTGTCTACATGTGATTGGAAGATTCAGTTGTGTCTACATGTGATTGGAGGATTCAGTTGTGTCTGCATGTGATTGGAAGATTCAGTTGTATACACACGTGACTGGAGGATTCAGTTGTGTCTACATGTGATTGGAAGATTCAGTTGTATACACATGTGACTGGAGGATTCAGTTGTGTCTACAACTCCTATTTATTGAACATCAAAATGGTGTTTTTACATGTTTTACACTCACCAAAAAGAAACCTATCATTCTATAAGTATTTGAAGAATTTGTAGCAGTCCGCCACAAT